GTGCCTGTCCAGCCCGGAGTGGAGGTTTCGGCGTGGCCGTGGACGAGAAGGATTTCAGCATCCTGATTCCTGAGGATGGAAACGACGGAACGGAGGAGCACGTTGCTCCGAACCTCCCCTTTACATAGCCGCGAGTAGCATTTTTCGGTAAAACAATGAAAGATTTGTAAGCTTTTTGTCAGCGTGCGACGGTTATATAGGCCGTACCACTAGTCGCTTTTGTTTTAACATCACGGGCGGCACGTATGCCACCCTCATCTTACACATTTGATTTTATTTGGCCTAATCGTTCTGGAATTTCTCAAACTCCCTGACCGGTCAGTGAGTTTGCAAACTCCCTAGTGAATTTGCAAACTACCTAGTGAGTTTGCAAAGTCACTGATGGGTCAGGGAGTTTGCAAACTCACTAGGGAGTTTGCAAACTCACGGATTTCTCAAACTCCCTGTAACATGGACACATAAACAATCGGTGCACACATCAGTATACACACATACACTCACAGACATGCAAACACATATCATTGACCTTGACCTAACTTGACCTGAAATGACCTCAGCAGCAAAAACCTGGTCGGATAGTGTGACAAAGAGGTTCTAGCTGGCTTGGCACCACAAAACGGCATCGTCATCGGTACCGTACCTACATGATGGGTACCTGTATATGATGAGCAGCGCACTTGATATCCAACGGTGACCCAAAACAGCAACATTTTTTAGTTTGACCTGACTTGGAAGGTCAATGACTGACCTGATAAGGTAAAAATGGGTATCATTGAATTTGTCTCGTCCCAAAGAATCTTTTTGGACTCTACCGCGAAGCTTTATCTCCAACAGGAACGAAATGGCGCGGGAGGATGCCCCCCCCCCCATGTGCGTTCTAGGATGGGAAAATGGCATGTGCGGGCGAGGGTTAAGTATATCCTGTGACAGTGGTGGATCCAGGGGAGGGCAAATAGGGCATTTGCCCCTCCCAAACGGCAAAATTTTAACTTTACGCCTATAGACGGTGCATGGAAAGAAACGCTAACTGTTATGGTTTGCCGCTCCCAAAACTCTGAGCTGGATCCGCCAGTGTCCTGTGATTTGCATAACGCAAAAGGAGAGACATGTAGTTTACTTACGGATGGTAATCGTTGGATTATTAGATTGAATGAATTGCTAGATTAGATTGAACGATAACAGTTTTTAGATTTGCAAGAGCGGTGATGTATTCGTTTGAAAAACTTCTGAACAACCGATTGTGACCATGATACGTGGTAAACAAATACTTACTAAAATACTAAAATTGACGGAACAAATTATAGTTAAGTTCCAAAGTGGCATGATGTGGCAAAGTGGCAAAGACACCTGTGTGGCATGGCATCAACTGTTTGTAAGGAATTTCCTACAAAAAAAGTAACATTTAACCTGTGCTGATTTTAATTAATGATCGAGGAGAACGTCATTTAAAATACCAAAGCTAAAAAAATTTCATCGAAAGAACGCCGCATAAAATTTTATCATGAAACAGACGCATGGATATACTAAGATGTCACGTGCAAAGGTCAAGTGTCAAAGGTCAATAATCAACGCGTTTCAGCCGCGAGTTGGGAGCGCAAAGCGTTTTCCAAGCGGGACGCGTTTTCGACGCGAGTTGTGAGCTGAATTGCAAGTGAAAACACAGCGAACGAAGCGATTTCCGCGCTTGACGCGAGTTCGACGCGATTTGCAAGCGTGTGCTGTGTTCCGGCCTTAAATCGAATTCGTGAAATCGTACAAGGCAAAAGTCTTTTTTCTTTTCTTATTCTTTTCGACCCGATAAAACCCACCAAAACTGAACGTGCCAAATGAAAAATATCTAACTCAAATAACAGTTTAGAAAAGCCTCATCATGCATCATGAAAAGCATCATGCTACTATCGACTGAAAAGTTGCATGCTATGAATACGTCCTAGATTTCAATTATCACTGTTCAACATTTTGGCTGGATGGAACTGACGCTGCCTCTGGCTTGCCCGTTTGTTTGAGATAATGATTCCCTTCAGTCGCGTTCTTGCCGGTTCCACATGAACAGGATACCACCATACCGGAGTGAACGCACCCGCAACCAGGGTATATAGAACAACGGGTACACCAACGACGCGGAAAGCGCCCATTTTACCTGGATGAGTTTCATAGAAGGTGATATATTTTTTGAATATGGAATAAATAGCGTATTCCATTCTGACGAGTAAAGCCAGATTCATAAAGCAGTTATTTTTAAATTATATGAACCAGAAATAACATACTAACCATAGTTTAAAACTTAGAATAAAGTTAGTTGAAAAGCCTATAGTTGATACTAAGATGGAAGGAATCTATGGAAGGCGGAAATGGCGCAGCTGTTTCATTCTTAAAACGTGTTCGCAAGCAGGATTTACGTGATGCTAGTGACATCTATTAATGTAATCGGGGACGCTCATTGGCTGATCGACTCCGTGAGCAGTATCGCTAACTTACGCTAGTACAGGGTTGAGGCAATGTGCGCATGCGCACGAACTAGTGCCCTCATGGAGGGGCTTTTGGTACCTCGGGCAGCGCCCAATGCTTTTTGGACCTGTTATGGCCTCCGCATCGAAAAACGCTAGATGAAAAGGTTGTAGGGGAAGCTTTAGGCTACCTTTCCCCACAATAATATTGGCAATTTATCTTTTAGCTTACGTGTGGGGCTCGCTTGAAAAAGGTCGATTTAACATGCAAACCCTATGGGGTAGTAGTTTTTGAGCGCCCATTTGGCCTAATGCTACCAACTGTTACTGGCTACCCCTGCCCGCAACCATCATCTCCTCCCCTCAGCCTCGGCGCAGTGGCGGGCGGCCCTGGGCGGCCCACCCCCGGCGCTACGCACGCCCCATGCGCCGTGATACCGCGTCACTCCCCTCCCTCCTTCCCCCACAATGACCGGTGACCTCACTTCCCTCGGGATTTGGACTCGCCCTACCCCGACCGTAGCGCCACGTGGTGGCTCTGGAGATCTTAAATAGACCCACTGTATAGTCTCTCTTGAAAGTATCGCTTCACGGGCTGCGGCGGCTCGGCGAACTATTCCATTCAGTTTGAGGACCCCAGCAGTGAGGTCGTGGCCTGTATCATAAAACGTACGCTGTAACACGATCCTACGCCAGCGGCAAAAGAACTGCTGTATGACGCAGGCACCAGCTGCTGACAACTGGGTCGAAACAGGTGGAGGCCGGCCAGGGGTCATGCTCGTATCGCTCTCCCTTGACCCCGTCCACCGCCCCAGGCGGATACCGGCGCCGCTTGGGTTCACCAGTCGGGCGCTCATTGGTCTGTCTTGGTGGGCGCCGATCACTGTTAACACAGTGTGCGTAACACGTAAAATCACCTATCCGTGCTTCTATCCTCAGGATACTGAAATCCTTCTCCTCCACGCCGCTACCCTCCTCCGGGCTGGACAGGCAACTTTATCTCATGCGGGCTGCTCCCTTGGAGCGGCACCGCTGCTCCTGAGGGAGCGCGCCCCGTAGCTGGGTGCAGTGAGTGCCTTGGGGCTGGGTGGCCTGTCCTTTAGACGGGCTCAGCCCCGGCGACTCACTAGGGTGCCTGCCCAGACCAATGTCTCCCCCTAATTCCTATCTTCCTTCCGGCTCTGCAATGGTCTTGTCGACCGAAAGGGCCTAACCCAACAAAAAAAAAAAAAAACAAAAAAAAACACGTAAAATCACCACGAAGCAAATTTCTGTCATAACCATACTCTGAAGAAGCCTTCTAAACGACGTAAACAGGTCATGGGAGGGGGCGGGGGCGGTAACCTGGCATCAAATAAGGCTTTTAAAAAGAAAACAGCTGGACGGTCAATATTTTTTGTCGCTGTTCGCTAGCCGGCTCATTAAAACAGAGAGCACGTTCAAATAAAGGACTATGTGGCTAGAGAGCATATATTTTTGTGATTGGAATCCGCTCGCGGGTGCACCTGCAACCACGGATGCATTCTGTTAGCGGGTGCAACTGATTTTTTTCGTCTTCGTGCACTGGTTTCTGGGTTATACCAAAAACCTGTGGTAGCAGGTAGTCGTGCCGATGACGGATCAAATTTTCAACTTTGTAATGAAACAAATCTCAACAAATCCTCTACGAGTAGGGTGGCTCCCGTTGACCACATGCTTACTGCCATCACAAGTTACCGCACGGAGACCGCCCGCCCCCCCCCCCGCCCCCCATCCCTACGCAACCACTCCCCTCGCCCGCCGCACCGGCTGCCACCGCGTGTCAGGCCTCGGTCAAAGCTACCAGCGGCTCTCAAACTTTCCGCCCAACCGCGGCTGAGACAGATGGCGCCCTCCCCTCAGAGTCGCGATACTTTCAAGAGAGACTATACATAGCTCCTCCGAATGGTAGGATTTACGTGCATGTGAGTGTCGGGGTGTCCGGTGTGTCAGTGTCGTGTGTTAGTGTATGTTTTTATAATTTTACTGTCCGACTTCACCTGTCATTAGGTGCAAGCCCGTTGGTGATTATTAAATAAACAAACAAACAAACAAACAAACAAACAAACAAAGTCAATAGCTTAAATTGGTCATCGCTGAAAGGTTTCCCTCCAGTGCCGTTGGCTCAGATGGCGCCCGCTCTCAGGTGCCGTACGGCGCCCGCTCTCAGGTGCCGTACGGCGCCCGCCCTCAGGTGCCGTTGGCTCAGACGGCGCCCGCTCTCAGGTGCCGTTGGCTCAGACGGCGCCCGCTCTCAGGTGCCGTACGGCGCCCGCTCTCAGGTGCCGTTGGCTCAGACGGCGCCCGCTCTCAGGTGCCGTACGGCGCCCGCTCTCAGGTGCCGTTGGCTCAGACGGCGCCCGCTCTCAGGTGCCGTTGGCTCAGACGGCGCCCGCTCTCAGGTGCCGTACGGCGCCCGCCCTCAGGTGCCGTTGGCTCAGACGGCGCCCGCCCTCAGGTGCCGTTGGCTCAGACGGCGCCCGCTCTCAGGTGCCGTACGGCGCCCGCTCTCAGGTGTCGCCGAACTGTTCTCACCTGTAGCGCTGATGTTGAGTGCGAAGATGGCCAGCTGGGTGGGGTAGTTCTCCGACACTGGCACCAAGTAGGAGCTGCTGGAGAGCTGAGGAGAGGCCGTGTTGGCGTCCCTCACCTTCACCGTCACAGTCTGCTCCTCCGACTGAAACGGAACGGGGCCGCTGTGACAGGAACGGGGCAACGGCCTCACCGTCACCGTCACACTCTGCTCCTCCGACTGAAACGGAACGGGGCCGCTGTGACAGGAACGGGGCAACGGCCTCACCGTCACCGTCACACTCTGCTCCTCCGACTGAAACGGAACGGGGCCGCTGTGACAGGAACGGGGCAACGGCCTCACCGTCACCGTCACAGTCTGCTCCTCCGACTGAAACGGAACGGGGCAACTGTGAGTGGCACGGGGCAACGGGGAACGGAACGCAACGGGGCAACAGGGAAGAGAACGGGGCAGCTGGGAGCGGAACAGAACGGGGCCGCTGTGAGCGGAACGGGGCCGCTGGGAGTGGGACGGGGCCGCTGGGAGAGACGCAGGCCACTAGATTACCGGTTAACCAAAAGAAATGAGTCTTTCTGTGACCTGGCATTAGAAGCAGCGCGTTTTGGGGACCATGTTCATGATTTTTTTTTCTTTTGCAGTTTGTATAAAATGAAGTAAGCTAGCGGCGTTTGAACTTGCAAGTACCCGACAGTCATTTTATGACATGGAAATGTCACGACATTGGACAATTCTATAGGGGCCAATTTTGACAGAAACACGAAAATCATATTTTTCAGCTACGCCAAACATTTCCCTAACTTGCCATGTTACAATTTATTCGATTAAATTCGGTTGAATCATGGGTTCTTTGGGCATTATTGGCCACTCGCGATCTTCATTTTCTGTGTATACGGACGAGGGTTAGCCCTCGCATGTGTAGGAGGGGGGGGGGGGGGGGGGTCGGATGGACCCCCCATGGTTTTTCGCGAATAACTCGCGCAAAAAGCGGCTGATCGCGACAAAACGTTCAGTACCCTCGAGTTGATCAATTTTCTACCTCCTCTGAAAATTTATGACCCTGACCCAAGTGACCTTTGACTTGTGACCTATTTCTCGAGGCTATGTTTATCCGAAATCGCGATTCGGCATATGTCGGCTCGCATTAGCCGCGCGTTTGCAAGCTTCTCGTGGTTTCAAACGCTCAACCATGAGATTTGATGTTGCTCCCATGCATTTGGGTGGATGTCAAGGTCACCTGAAGGTCAGGTCAGGTCATTGACCTTTGGTGACCTCGGTTCACTTTTTCGAGCTGTACATGTTTCTAGGCTAGTTTTTGGAGCTAAATTCGAATTTAGCAACCATTTGAATATTTACGAAGTTGTTTTGGTACCTTCGTAACATGTTACGAAGCTGTCAGAGGCGGTTGACACGTACTACAGACGGACACCCGTCACGACGCCTACTGGTTGACCTGACCTAACCTGACCCGACCTGGTCTAAATGCTTAAAGACATCATCTGTGATCAAAACTAACACGATATTCGTGATCAGCAACCCGAAAACCCTTAAGCAGCCACACTTTACGACTTTCTAACAGGTCCTGATTTTCCCGACTTTGGGTCATTGACCTGACCTGGAAGGTCAACCAATGACCTAGGACCTTAATATTTTAAGATTGAGGTCAACTTTCAGGTCAAGGTCAGGTCAAAGGTCAAATTCTGGGGTTTTGCATGATTAGGCTTACGGACAGCGGAATCGATAGCTGCTGCTCGAAACACACCAAAAATGACCTCAAAGACCTAGTGAAGGTACCATGTGCGTATAGGGGTCACACTAAGCTCGGGTCTGGGTCAGGTCAGGTCACGAATGGTCACGGTTTTCACTTTCTGCTACATGGGCGTGCGACACATGTTGTATGGTTTATTTTTCACGCCGAATCCGATGGTAGGGGAAGTTGGGGCAATGCCGGAGTTGGGGCAAAGCCGAAATTCGAGATATTTCTAAAACCGTACGACATGGATGCCACGTCTCAGTGATGCTCTGGAGCTTAAGTGACTACAATTATCGCATGTTTGTTACGAGTCGTCATTTGGAATACTTCGGCTGTGAGGGCGCCAAAAGCGTTTTCAAGGTACGTGTCCCTTGTACTACATGCGCCTTTGAAGCTGCATTTCTTACTCATTATGCTACCGTTTGTCTGGCCAATTCGGTCAAGTAATCTTCAGCATGTCTTTGCATAAGTGTGCTGCCTATTTGAAATTTATACAGCACGTTTAAAAGTTATGGGCCTGCAAATGAAAGTATGGCTGGCTGGGGTAATGCCGAAAACGTGCAATTACGCACGTTAAAGCACGCTACGTGGACTTTACTGCTGTAGAATAGCAACGCGTATTTTTAGTCAAACAAATTACACTTTCAGCCGGCACAACGGCCTGTTACCTATAAGGAATGATTTACCTGGCATTTTCTTATTATATCACACAATTATAACTTCCAGTGTGCACCAAGCGTCCTCAAGCTCTTAAAACGCGTGTCAGCGACTCAGCTTTGATGAATTTTGGATAAAGTTTGAGATAAATTGGCAAAACATCAATGTCGGCATTCCTCGTAGATCATTTATCCCATTTTCGGCTCTCCCCGCAGTCCGGGGCAACGCCGAAAAAGTCAGTTCTTTGATATTTTTAGTTTTTGCGCTTAACGGTATGCGAATTCATCAAATGCGCTTGGTATGTTTGAAAGATAAAAGACTAGCCTCTCGAATGACGCCAACAAGAATAGCTTATGTTGTCTACCTTGCGTGCTACGGGCGTCAGAAAAAAAAGTATTCGGCGTTCCCCCAACTTCCCCTAATGGTTATCTGTGACCCTAAGTCACTCTGCTGGTGATAAGTTAAGTGCGCATTGAAAGCATAAAAAATCGTTTATACCATACATAACTAAACGAGAGCCAAAAAATGTCAATTTTTCAACTTTTTATTTTTGACATAAAAATGCACTTCTCTAGACAAACTTTGTCCCAGGAATCTAGAGGTGCCATTTGTTTTCACATGCGATGCTCAGAAGTGCCTCTAATTCACCAAAATGCTTATGACGTCACCATGCCCTATGCATGTTGGAGCTATTTTTTTTTTGCAATTTTGGGAGCTTAAAATCAAGATAAAAAGTTGAAGTTTGGGACATCTTATGTTCTAATAGAGCTCTATAACATATATTCCGTTTTTTGGAAATTCTCAAAATTTTGGATTTTATTAGCTGTTTTCCCAAAAATTTAGTTTTTTGAATTTTTGGGATGAAAACCGCATTTTATGGAAAATCCGACATAGCTATTCTAAAGAACTCGTTGAGCAGCGTCTAATCATGTTCTTAATTTGCAATTTACTTTTAACCTTGATTTTTGGCAATTTTTTCAGCATGTACTGAAACTTTTTGACTGAAAACACCTATAGTTACATCACTAAAATCGATATATCTAAAAAAATTGAAACATTTTCTTAAAAATTACACAGAAGACGTCAAATTGATAGGGGAGAAGGTATGCCAAGTTTCAAGTTGATAGCGTAAGCGGATCATAAGTTATTCAAGAAAAACGGAGGGGGTCGGACCCGACCCTCCCCCCGCGGCGGTCGCGAGTTAATAAAACAATTAACATATTGCTAATTTAGCCCTCGCATGTGTGCGGCGTTTGCCAGCTTCTAATGTGTAGGGGGGGTCGGTTGGACACCCCCCTTGCCGTTTGGCCCCTGATCGAGCTAGCGCTTCGTGGAAAAACGAGCGTGTTGCCCGTGATGAGAGGAAGCCGTTGATACCCAATTCTAACCCTCGCCGGCACAGGCCATTTTGCGTCCTTCGACGGCACAAGGGGGGGGGGGGTTGGTACGACCCCCCTCGCGTTTGGCCCCTGATCGAGCTAGAGCTTCGCGGAAAAAACGAGCGTGTTGCCCGTCACGAGAGGAAGCCGATGATACCTAATATTAAGGTCCTAGGTCATCGGGTGACCTTCCAGCTCAGGTCAATGACCCGAAAACCGGGAAAATCGGGACCTGTTAGAAAGTCGTAAAGTGTGGCTGCTATGTGGTTTTCCGGGGTGCTGATCACGAATATCGTGTTAGTTTTGATCAGAGATGATGTTTTTAAGCATTTAGACCAGGTCGGGTCAGGTCAGGTCAGGTCAACCGGTAGGGGTTGTGACGGGTATTCGTAATACGTGTCAACCGCCTCTGACAGCTTCGTAACATGTTACGAAGGCACCAAAACTACTTCGTAAATGTTCAAATGGTTGCTAAATTCGAATTCAGCTCCAAAAACTAGCCTAGAAACATGTAAAACTTGAAAAAGTGAACCGAGGTCACCCGAGGTCACCAAACGTCAATGACCTGACCTGACCTTCAGGTGACCTTGACACCCACCCTAATGTATGGGAGCAACATCAAATCATATGTTTGAACGTTTGAAACCACGAAAAGCTTGCAAACGCGCGGCTAATGCGAGCCGACATACGCCGAATCGCGATTTCGGCCAAGCATGGTCACGGGAAAGAGGTCACAGGTCAAAGGTCATTGGGGTCAGGGTCAATAAATTTTAAGGGAACGTGTAAAATTGATCAATGCGAGGGTACTGAAAGTTTCGTCGCGATCGGCCGCTTTTTACGCGAGTTATTCGCGAAAAACCTTAGAGGGGTTGCATCACCCCCCCCCCCCTGTGCCGGCGAGGGCTAAGAGTGCTTTGGGAAGGTCTCGTAGAGACCTCTCGAACGCCGCTTCGCGGGGCTCGATACGACCATTGGTTCCTGAGATAACAGGGGGGACGGATCCGACCCCCCCCCCCAGGCTGTCGTGGACTGGGTACGGAAATAGCCCAGGCGGTGCCGGGTTAACCCGCGCCCCAGTGGCGGTCTCAGCCAACTTCGCCCTAGTGTGGGGGGGGGGGCATATGCTACCGCCCACCTCTAACTCAAAAACTAAGAGGGCTAGAAAGACGCAGTAAAAAGCAGTCGATAGCTCTCGATGTGTACGTTTGAAAGTATTTCGTTCATTTTTCATATTAGAGCAATATTGGGGTCACCAGAGGTCATTAAAGTTCAAAATTTGCGAATTGTCATTATATACTTCAGAAAACATGCCATCATCTCAGGAACTATGATAGCTAGAAAAAAGCTGGGAAAAGCAA